CACAATTATTATCATAAAATTTGACATTATTATATAACTAATTTTTTATAGTCATTTATGCAACTATTATTAAATAATATTATTAGTATATATAGAAATTTTCAACAAAGGCGTCCGAAGTGCAGGATGAGCACTAGTATTCTATACAATCGAACATATGCCTATATTATATATATACCCGGATTGATTCCGAGAGCAATCGAACATGCAAAATTGGACGGCTTTAATTTAAATTGCTTCTTGGTAAGCATTATGCATGCATGGTTGACATTTCTTATAAAAAATTCTTACAATAGTTATAAAATATTAAACGAGTAAATATATTAATTCATAAAACAACAAGTGAGGATTTTAATAAAAAAAAGGAACAGATATTGTAAGATGAGAAAATAATGTTTGTTAACAATATTATAGTTATAATGTCATAAAAAATTATAAATTTATAATTATAATATATTATTATTAAATAAATGTGATATATTATTAAATAAATTGATATACATATTATTACGGATAAATTTTTAAATAAAAAAATTAAATATATTATATTATAATTTTATAATTTTATATAATATTCTAATTATATTATTTTTGAAAATTAAGAATTTATTGATAAAAAATATTGTGGTTAATCATTTTTCGACATTTAAATATGTAGACACAAAAAACAATTTGGATCCTATGATCGTGCCTAGGATCTTGGTATTCCTCTCGGTTCTCAAAAAATGAAATAGAAAAATATATTTTCTTGGTTCCTAATTGAATAATGAGCTAGCTAACATTTGATTGTTAAGGATAAGGATTAGGTTCACGAAAGATGCTCAGTTCAAAAGTTTGTAAAAGTTAAAAATAAAAAGTGAAGAAATCAGAGAAGCCGCATTCTCTTTTGTGGAAACAAACATCAAATAAAATGACATAACATGGAGCACAAATATTCATAAATCTTGCGGTCCCATGAATCAAGTTGGAGTGCATTGTAAGCATCCACATAATACATATACTTGAAACCAAAGGAACAAATAAATACAAAACCCAAACACAAAGTAATCTTCATCTTATTGTTCAATTATGGTGGGCCTTGAAGAGTTTCTTTACACACATATATTAACTTAGTAAGCCATCAAGGTTGGCTTAGATGGCAATTAAGGAATGGTTATACTTTTTGACAAATTGTGATTAGATCTAGTTCTGACGGTTAGCAATTAATTTACAGAGATGATCTATTAATGCTACTATAAATTGGTACAGTGATCGGTTGAAAGAACAACTAATACTAATTCATTGCTATAATGAATCAAAATGCTTATTAGATTTATTTTATATGAAAAATGATTGGTATACTTTCGGTTTAACATATTTTTTGATATATTTTTGGTTTAGTTATTAAAAATATAATATAAATATAATTAATTCAATTGATTCATGTATCATGTGTGTATGATTATATCATTAAACTTGTCTATTTTTAATTTTAGATTAAAAATAATAATTTTTTAATAAATATATCACGTAATGCGTTAAACCGAAATGTATATTAATTACTATCCTTATTCTATATTAATTGTGTTATTATGATCAAATTTTAATGGTCTTAACAAATAAATTAATAATCATATCAAACATCGCCTCCTTTTATTCATGGCACACACAAATCGAAAGGTTTGGTCCGGTTGGTTTTGCAACGATAGAGAGGGATGTGGACAT